AGTGTGTGGGGGAAGGTAGAATCCCCACTGAATAGTTTTCATCTTGTCTAAATGGGTCTGGTGAAAGGTAGATGGGGATAAGATTCTTATGGTTCAATAATAATTGTTACCATGACTAATTGGGATTGTCACAACTGTAAAGGTAAAAGTTTTGTAACATAAAGGAGGGAGTAGTTAATCTTACATTCCAAGAACAGAGGACCCTTGGGCCATCAAGGGAGAAGAGCATGAACAGAATGTGGGAACTTATCTGGAGAAGCAGTGACACCAGAGATGGAAGCAGAGATGATGACATGGAAAGATAGAACGGCTGAGGACTCTAGACTCATGGAAAGAGAAAGGCTGTGTGCTGGCGGCCAGGATGTAGTCTTGCAGAATGTGCCCTTGGGTTGTTTAAATTATTATAAATTCCTGAGTGCTTTTGTGTACATCAAAACAACAACAACAAACAAACAAAAAAGAGAGGGACTAGAAACAAACACTGAATACTGCTGAATGGTGATACATAGAGGGGACTGTAATCATTGAAGTGAAACAAAATACAATAGGATGAATGTAAAACTGATGTCCTCCAATGTAAACGATCACTCAATTCACAAACAAATCTGTATTGGAAGAAGTACAGCCAGAATGCTTCTTAGAAGCCAACACAGCAAGAGTTGGTCTCTCATACTTCAGACATATCATCAGCAGGGATTAGTCCATGGAGAAGGACATCATGGTAGGCCAAGTGGAGGATCCGTAAAAAAGAGGAAGACCCCCAACAAGATGGATTGGCACAGTGGCAGCAGCAATGGGCTTAATGAGCGTGAGGATGGCACAGGACCAGGCACTGTTTCCTTCTGTTGTGCAAAAGGTCACTATGAGCAGGAACTGTCTCAACTGGGCAACTACTAACAACAATGCCTTTGTTTATTGACTCAGCTTACTGGCTGATGTCCTCACATCTATGTAAACAATTCACATGCAAATCACAAAACACAGTGATTCACTAACCAAATGACTCTAAGTTATTCATTGACAATATCAATTCATTTAAATCTCAAAGAACCCTAGGTAGCAAGTGTTATAGTATTTCATACACGAGGGAAATGAAGCACCTGAGAGGTTAAGAAACTTGTCCCAACTCACACATCTAATAAGTGGAGGTCCAGGCCATGAACTTTTGTTGTCTTTAGCCACCAGACAATACTGCCTCAAAAACTATAAACATAACAACAATGAGATATCATCTCACACCAGCAATAACAGCAAAGATCAAAAAAGTAGAGGACAATAAATGCTGGCGGGGATGTGTAGAGACTGGGACATTCCTGCATTGCTAGTGGGACTGCAAAACGGTCCAACCTCTCTGGAAAGCAATATAGCGCTTCCTCAGAAGGTTGGAAATAGAAATACCTTATGATCCAGAAATTCCTCTACTTGATATTTACCCACAAGAAATATGACCCATAACATGAGTAGATATATGCACTCCAATGTTCATAGCAGCACTATTTACAATAGCAAAAAGATGGAGACAGCCTAAGTGCCCATCAACTGAAGAATGGACAAACTCTGGTACATACACACAATGGAATATTATGCTACCTTGAAGAATTAACAAGGAAGCTGCAAGCCACCGCATAATAAGGATGAACCTTGAGGACATTATG